CCCCCAAAATAAAAAAAAACGCGCATCGAGCGCACCTGTCCCATCCCAACCCGCATGCGTGCGCACATCGCATGGGCGCATGCCTGCGCGCGTGTGCGCGCATGTGCGCTTCGCCCGGCACATATTGCAGCGCAGCGCGCATCGGTGCTGTGCGCCGCAAGTATGGTAATAACTTAATAAGCAGTACTAACCACAGCTTAAACCAGTTCTCAACAGACCTTTGTGATCCCAAGTCACTTCAGAAAAGAGTACGAAAATCAGAAAAAAACAGAACTTTGAGACTTTCCAATTCATGTTCATATGAAAATTGAAAATTTAAACTGCGTAAGAAGTACTAAGAACAGATCTGAGATCTGGTCCAGAAAAAAAAAAGACGGGATCTCAGATCTGACCAAAATCATCTCTCTCTCTCTCTCTCTCTCTCTCTCTCTCTCTCTCTCTCTCTAGCTTGACGTTCTGTGGCACTTTGCAGCCAACGCTTCATTTTTGGAATCAGACTCTTCCTCATCCGATGAACTACCAGCGTAGCACAACAGCAGAGGGAGCTGTTGGAAGCGTCTGGCATCGTCCGGTAGGCCCTGAAACGACCGAAAAATACTGGGGGCATTTTTTGGGGGCGGCCTAGGACCTGAAAAACGTCCTAGGCCCCCCCGAAAAAAAATTCGAATTTTTCATAATTGGGCCCAATCCAGACCTACCGGACTAGACACCAGACCCATACCCAGACAACCGGACCGTCTGGATTCCGGTCCAGACATCCGGCCGGTTGCCATGGTTTTCGTATAGAAGCACCACCACTGCCCCATTCGGCCCAGAGACGTAGAGCACAGGACAAACAGCAACTTTGGGCCACAGAATGTCTGTGGGAGGCCCAGACTTCAGTGTTGCATACCCCAACGGTCGGCGCGCTTGACTGGCTGGCACCTACCGGTCGGAGGTCGGCGGCACCCCACCAAACCCCCCATCCCTGCCCACAGCAACCCCACACAACCCCCAACTCCCCCAAACCGCCCCCCAACACCCTCATAGCCCCCCAAATACCCCCTATAGCACCGCTATAACGACGGCTCCCTTGCTATATCTCAGTCACCTCAGAATAATCCTGCTAAATGAATTGCTTATCCATATTCTGAGATGGGGGCCGGCAAATTTTCTTCACAACAAAACAAATCCAGCGACGTGGGAAACAATCAAGCAAGTAGTCCCCCAACCCTTCGTTACACTTTGTTTATACTCTTGAGCAATACAGCAGTTGTATGCTCAAAGTCCCACTCACCAGCTCAAAGACTTGTCGAGAGTCCACAATGCTCAGAAGGTCATGGCAAAAGAATGCAAGATGGCTGTTTAGCCGCTTTGCTAAGGGCAGACCCTTTTTCGCTCTCTCGTGGACTTCCGTCAGCAGACAGTCAAAGAGCTGCCAGATACATCGGAATATGTCCTCGCTCAGCTGGATCTTGGAATCTTCCTCCTCCAAGGCATCTGACATATCAACCAGTGTATCCAAGTGTTACAATGAAGTTGTCCAACCCCACGGAAACTCTAAATACTTGCAAGTTGCAACATGATACGCCAAAAATGCGTCAATAGCTGCACCATTCCGAAAAGTTCGGCGAAAACCAAACTTGGGAAGGAGAAGGGATCAAGTGACAACATCGATGATCATAGCATAAAACATTGTCAACATTGTCAATAGACTCAATAGTAGTCAATACATAACATGCGAAGAATGACAGGCCGCTCCCTCAAGGGTGAAACCAAAGGCGAGCACTTCACAAAACTTCCAATTTTGGTTACTTAGCCAAAATAATGCATTAGGGTGCTCCCTCAAGGGTGAAACCGAAGGCCAGCACTTCACAAAACTCGGCAACAAAACACCACATGGAAACTGCACACCAAATGGTAGCCAGAGCCAGGAGTTGAATCACAAGTACTTATGGCTTGTGTTGTACAAAGTGAAGATAAATGTCGTGACGCAGCTGAATTGGTTTTGATAATTGAAACTTTGCTTTTCTTTCCGTAGTCGCAGAGCTTTGACTTGCACAGGTCTCTGGTCTACAGTGCCTAAAGGCTAAAGCCGCTTTTTCATCAACAGGTACTCCAGAGTCCGAACACATCAACAACATGACCCAACATAGATATTCCTACAGGAGCAGCTACATGGAAACTGCACACCAAATTGTGGCCAGAGCCAGGAGTTGAATCACAAGTACTTATGGCTTGTGTTGTACAAAGTGAAGATTAATAACATGATGCAGCTTAATTGATTTTGATAATTAAAACTTTGGTTTTCTTTGGACTTCTACAGGTCTTTGCTCTACAGTGCCTAAAGCCCTTTATCTATCAATAAGTACTCCAAACGCATCAACAACGTGACCCAACATAGATATTCCTACAGGAGCAGCTACAACAGAGCCAGTGCTTTTGACAATACCTTCTTCTTTAATCATTTAATGGCAGTATCACTCCCAAGACCCGCAATCCCTAAACTCTCATTCTTTCGGCACGTCAGGAATCATATCATCATGGACCCACTCCCAACAACATGACCCAACATAGATATTCCTACAGGAGCAGCTACAACAGACCCAGCGCTTTTGACAATAGCTCCTTCTTTAATGGCAGTATCACTCCCAAAAGCCACAGTCTCCAAACTCTCGTTCTCTAGATTCAGTGCCATTCCGGTTCTTTTTCTTTCGGCACGTCAGGAATCATATCATCATGGACCCACTCCCACATCTGCTGGCATGAATGGTATAGGTTCTACCCCTTCATTTCATGGCATGGGAGACGAATGGTAGTCTTCAAAACTGTGCTACGTCCGAAGTTCTCTGAACCAAAATTACGACAATTACTGCTACAGACTAGATGACCTGTTGCGGCTTTGCCCGCAAAAGCAGGAGGTATGAGCACAGTCATGGCAGAGGAAGAAGAAGAGAAGATTTTCTCTCTCTCACCACCGCCCCGCAGGTGCTGGCGTGTTGGCAATGGCACGCGGACAGGTGGGGTCTATCGATGGCGAACGTACAGGTGGACTGCTGTGTCGAGCTGTCACGGGCGGGCATGATGGCAGCATTGCTACTTCGGCAGGAAGCGCAAACGTGGAAGTGGGTTTCAGCGAGACGCGGCAGCAACATACGGGGCAGCGGAGGCAACAGCTGGCATGTGGTGGGGTAGAACCGCCAGATCCCGCCCAAATCGTTTGAAAAGGGCGGTCAATCTGGGCCGCCGATCTCTCGATACCGGTGGTCCAGATAGGCCGTCCTTTTCAAACGATTTGGGCGGGCCTGCCAGACCGGTATTAATTCCTTTTTTGCCCGCAGGCCTCCTACACACCCTGGAGCACAACTCCTCCTCCCCCCATCCTTCCTTCCATCGTGCTCGTCCTCCTCCCTCCTCCTCCCTCCTCCTCCCTCATTGTTATCGTCGTCCTGCCTCACTATCCTCCGGCCTCCTCCTCCTCCATCGTCGTCCTCATCAACGTTGTTGCCGTCCTCATCAACGTTGTCGCCATCCTCATCACCGCACGCTGGGGCCCATCCTCCTTCCTCCTCCTGCCTCCATCCTTCGTTGTCCTCCCTCCTCCTCTTCCCTCCACTTTCATCCCCCCCCCCCCTTTCCTCCCTCCGCCTTGTCGTCCCCCTCCTCCTCCTCCTCCAGGTCATCCTCCTCAGTGCTGCCGCCATCCTCATTGTTGTCACCATCCTTCTCTTTGTTGTCCCCGTGTGCACGTTTATATGTCGTGTGTGTGTGTAATCCTTGTGTTCATGTGCGTTTGAGCCGTGCCATCCTCATCCTCCTCCCTCCTCCCCATTCTCCTTCCTCCTCCTCCTCCTCCAACCTCGTCCTCCTCAACGGCGTCGTCCTCATCATTTATGTCGGCGTCCTTCTCCTCGTGGTCTTCACGTGTGTGTATGTGTGTCTCTTGGGTGTGTGCGCGTGCGTGTGTGTTGGAGCAGCGCCGTCCTCACTCCATCCTCCTCCGTCCTCGTACATCCTCCCCCTCCAAAACTGTCCTACACAACGTTGCTGTTGTTGTCACCATCCTCCTCCTCCTCCCGCATGTGTGCGTGTATGTGAGTCGGCTGTGTGCGCAAGTGTTGGACCTGCGCTGCCGACGACCCATGCTGTCGAGTGGGGAGCAAAAAAGCTGATCTGCGCGGCTGCCCATCGGCCATGCAGATTCCTCTTATTTTTCTATGATCTGGGTCGTTGGCCAACTGGTACCGGGCTGACAACCCAGATGGTCATGCGATCTTAAAATCTTAAGATTTGTGCGACAAGACACACCATCTGCAAGGGCGGAAAAGATCAGTCTGGACTGTCGACAATGTCCCGTCATGATGATTGGAACCACAAAATAATCAGTATGATTCCGTATTTAAAAAAGAAAACAAAGAAAAAGATCAGTATGCACTACTATGTAGCATGTATATGATGGGGACGCTTCGAATAGCAAAAAGTTAATACATGCACGCGTGCACACACACACACACACGCACACACACCCACACACACACACACACACACACACACACACCTGGATCCACTTGTTCTTCAGGTGGCCGATGGTGCTCCAGTGCCATTGATTTCACGATGAGCTCCAAAAACACCCATGCCATGGTGAGGACATCATCATAGACAGGGCCTACACGGTAACCCTTTGCCTGTGAAATAAGCAAGCAGCAACAGCGGAGTAAAACACCACCAAAGTTACTTCCTGATATTTGACTCCCATCTGCTGATCCACCCATTCAGCCACTCATGCACACCCATCTTTCCATCCATCCACCCATCCACATGCAAAACAAAAGTGTGCACACTTGTCTGCCTTTCCAGCATGCACCACTTGCATGGTCCTGTCTCCTACTCTTTGTAGAGCCCTTCGATCTGACGTTCATTCAGACGTACGGGTGGGTCACATGAAGGGATGCAAACACGGGTAACATGCTTTATGAAGCAAACACTCGGCACAGGCACAATACACTCGGTCACGGTTAACACATGGTCATAAGTCCTCGGAACACAATGCTGTCCGAGGTTGGATGGCTTACTTTGTTTCACCTAATCTGATATCCTTTTTTTTTTAATCAACAAAGAAAGTACCTTTGGCCTGCTCTGTGGTTTTCCTCTTTTTAGGATAGGAAATCTGAGTAATCTTACTCCCATAGGTAAATGGTCAATCAGGGTCATGTTCACCACTGGCTTATTTTGGGAGCGGGGCTTTTCATCACACCTAAGCACAATCATTGGCATCCACTTTGTTTGATTAGCAAAATGGAGTTTGTTGTTTTCAGAGTCAGCCTCAAGAACCAATCAGCACATGCACACACACAAGGACATGATCACATCAGCGTTCAATGGCTTCCTTATTAACCCGTTTGTGACATTCGGCATTGCTGTTAAGATGGTAACTTACGACACACAAATCGACTGCACCGGATGTATAATTATTCTTATCCTCCCACCTCCTCTTTGTTTTTTCTTCTTGTTATCTTCACTTCACACTCCTTGTTTTTTCTTGTTATCTTCACTTCACACTCCTCGTTTTTTCTTGTTATCCTCACTTCATACGCTTTGTTTCTACCCGCCAGGCATCATCGTATCAACTCGACGAGACAGATAATCCTTATATGATTAATTATTCTCCTTGAGGGCCTAATTGCACCACTTGCCATCCCTCAACATTTTTAATGCATCCGGACAGAACACTGTCAAGATGCATTCAAAATGCTGCCGGATGGCAAGTGGTGCAATTAGGCCCTAACTCTTGCTTCTACCTTGCCATCTTCTCTTCGAAAGCTCCCTGGCAGCTGCTATCTCCACCCCCACTGTCCTCCCATGGTCTTGCTGAGCTGGTGCATCCTTTTAACCTCCTATAGGTGGGATGAGATTTGCGATAACATTGCGAGCTTGAGTTTCATTTGCAGGTGTGCCCCTAAAATTGTCAGGTTATGAACAGTGACATATGATGATAGGAGATATTCTTGTGACCCAAAGAATAGATGGAAATGAGTAATTAAAAAACAAGTCATCCTGCCGCGACTCTGCCCACGGCCCCACAGAGTGGTGTCCCGAAGAAGGATACAATGGGAAGATGCACTGCAAGAGAGCAGGGGAAAAGCACCCCGAAATGAGACCACGTGCACCCCCTTTCTCTCTGTCTCTCTGAAAAGGGGTGCCGTGCAGGAAGAGGCCGAGAGTTCAGTTCACATCTGGGCCGAAAAGGAAATCTGTATGTCGGCGTGGCCATGCTCTCTCTCTCTCTCTCTCTCTCTCTCTCTCTCTCTCTCTCTCTTTCTCTTCCCCCCCCCCCCCCAAACGAAATTGTGCACACGCACACTGCGTGGCAACGCATGAAACTGCAGGTGCGTTTCTTTCCATCCAATCTCTAACCGTCCGCCCAGGAAAAAAAAGCCACTCAGTTGCTTTCGACCGATGAAAATGCATGCACAAAAGACAAAAAAAAAATGGCGGTGTATCTTTCCAAATTCTTTCTGAATTCATTTTTTCATTTTCCAGACCCACAGTTTCCTTAGTAGAGCCCAGCCCATAGTCGGCCTTTACTATGCAATTGTAAGGGAACATGCAAATCGAGCCCGCCCAATAAAAACAGCAGCGCGAATGTTCAAAGCGACTTTCAGCCCGATAAAAACAGCTGAATGTTCCCAAGGGTCCCTCCGGTACCGCCTCCCCACTGAATTTTCTTGGGCCTGCGGGGGGCGTTACGCAAGGACCACTTTTCCCTTTAATAGGATTTGCAGGGGGGGGGGGGAGGAGGAACCAGAAAAAAACAGAGGCTCCTGGATCACGATTGGGGGCCCATGCATTTCTGTCATACAGGCATTTCCAAACCGATATTATCTGGCAGGTGAGATGAAGGCTCACTGGACATTTCCTTACATTAAGCACCTCTCACCCACTGCCAAAGGGATGTGTTCTGATGAAGTTCCCTCAAGCTGGGTTACCCAGAGAATAGGAAAATCGTCCATGGCGCTATCCTCTTTACTGCGTAGGCACAGTAAAATCTGCTATCAGAACGTCTGAGGACAATCGATAAGGGTCTCACCGGATGGAGAAAAGAGTTATGGATTCACCTTGCTTCTCGCTAGGCTCCTCCACACACTGCACAATCCAGGGTATATAGGCCGCTTCTTGTCGCCATGATCGTCAAACGCATAGTCCACAAACTGCACCAAGAACCTGTTCCTCTCCGCTCCATCTTGAGACTCCTGCTGCACTCTGCACACATGGACAATATCACATTGATAAGCTACTACAATAGACTGTACACGACCTTCATAATCTTCCTTTCCTTCCCCTCACACTTACGCACACACTCGCACACACGCCTGCACTCACATGCACGCACACACAAGCACGCACGCGCGCGCGACCTCACAAGCATGCGCGCCGACGCACACACAACCTCGCACGCGCGCACAACCTCTTGCTTTCCCTTTGGTTTCAGGATGGGTAAAGTTACATAGAACTGCAATCAAGCATTGCTCTCATTACAACAGTTTCTTCATTCATTCCTTCATTGTTCCTCAGTTCATCAGACATTTTATTCATTGAATTCTCCTTCACTGTTCAGGTTACATTCAATTTGTCTACTCGCAAGCAGTTTTAGGATTTGTAAAAGTCGAATAGAATTGCGATCATACATCCTCAAAAACTTAGGAAAAAAAGCGCAGGTTGGGAGGGTGTGCTCCCCCTACGAGGATAGAGCCATGTTGATAAGAAAAAGAAGAAAAGACAACAAGATATCTGTGCAAAATTAACATGCTGGGGGGGGTTATCAACTAGAATTTAGGCCAAACCAAATACAATTGAATTTCTATTTTAGATTGAACACAGAGAATGAGCACCACAGTCACGCCAGCTGTGACAAAAGTTGCGCTCGGCCATCAAGAAACCCACCTTGTCAGAATGTTCACAATCGCTCGGAATGGAGCAACCTGTTTGCAACAACGGAGACCGACACAATGGAACACATGTTACATCCCATTCGGAACAAGCGACAACGTTAGCAGCAAAAGCACATGACACTGCATCAATATCTGTCATGAAGGGGCAGAAAGAAAAGCATGCAAGAAATGTAGAACTCCATGTGACCAATATTGTCCACGGATTATGGTACAGCACGATTGCCCAGCGAAGGAAAATGCTCACTTCATACAGAACAAATATCTGACCAAAAGACAAAGAGACTCCAGAGCAGACAGGCTTGCCAATCCATTCACAGCTGAGAGAGAGATGAGGATGCTTGCCACTCAATTCAAGGTTCGTTAAATGACAAGTAATAGGTACTGATGCTTGCATGTCAATTAACTGAAACCTGTGGAACTCGTCTAAGCAAATAAAAAAGAAAGGCAGATTAAGATGTGAACAATAACCCAACCGTCGGCTCCCAAAGAAAAACAATCGGCCCTGTTTCAGCTTCCCAAGGTGGCCCAGGTAGGTCGATCTTAGCAGCCTAAGCCTGGGTGTCCAGCTGGAGAGGATAATCTGGCCACTTT